TGGCGGACCCTTTTCCTTCCGAGGGGCTAAGACCGGCATGCACCGCGCGCGCGCGCGCGCACGCGCTTGGGGGGGGAGGCGGAACAGGTTTTAGGGACTTGGGCAAAATTACTGAGGGTAGGAGAGAAGCAGAATAAAGCCAAGGGTTCAGGTTAAAATTCTTTGCGCAGAAACGAGTAGAGGGCGGCCCATAGCTAAAGTTGCGGTTAAAAAGAGTACAAGGCCACAAGCTCCTTGTAAAATGCAGAGTCCGGATCAGACCTCGGAACCTCCTTCTAATAAATGTATAACAGCTATCAGGTTTGATTACTAAAGAGTCGACAGGGTACAAAAGAATACACATTGTAGGTTCTACAGCAGATACATGGTCATCCAAAACAGTTTGAAATAGAATTCAGGCCCCTGTGTCTAGAGCCTGGAGTTCTCAAGAGTTTGAAGGGCACATAAGAATGCAGCTGAAGCAGTCTAGGCTCCAAGGGTTAAGAATCAAAACTGGTAGAGGGACCAGGGATTTACCTCAGGGGCTCCGCCCCAGCCTCACAAGCAAAGTCCTGAGTTCGACCCCAGTACAAAACAAAATTGGTAAGGGGGGAAATAACACCAACAGATATTCAAAAATCTGCACAATTCTTCTGAGGACATGGCCTCCCTTTTAATTCACTCAGAAAATAGATTTGGAAGAAATTGGAAATTAGTTCCTTGTTTCTGCACACACACACACAATCCAAGCCCAGGTGACCTAGGGAAACTTTGCAGACACTAAGGTGACTGACATTCTGAAAGAGGATAGAGGAAAAAGAACTGATTTGCTCCATCAATAATTATTAGATGGGGCTGAGGATTTACCTCAGTGGTACCACGCCTGCCTTGCAAGAGCAAGGTCATGAGTTCAACCCTCCCATACTAAAAAAAAAAAAGATGTGTGTGTGCATACCAGATGTGCTGATTTGTCTATGATCTTTGTATTATGATGGTGTAGGACCCAAGTGGAATGGAATGTGGAACTCCTTCCTGTACTTCCTCCCGCTCAATAAAATGTGCTCACAATCTGTTCATAATGGATGGTGTTAATTATGTAAGCAATAGAATAAAGGTTTCAGCATCTTACCTCTTTGTGTCAATCTCAAAGATCCACAGACCTGGGGTTTAAAAAAAAAAAAAGAAGAAGGAAGGAAAGCTCAAAGCTCAATGGACATTCTTTGCAAAGTAATCTCACAAAATATCTTTTAAAGAGAAGTGACTCTTGCCAGGGATTTAGCTCAGCGGTTCAGTGGCCTGCCTTGCAAGCGCAAGGACCCAAGTTCAATCCCCGGTACAAAAAAAAAAAAAGAAGTGACTTTTAAGAGTGAAGTCGGGAGAAGATGGATCTTTCTGGTATGGAAGTGCTGTAACTCCCCAGGGAAAGAGGAAGGAAGAGCAGGCACATCACAAACATGTAAGGTAGAAGAAAGTACTAGGGAGTACCTGAACCAGCAGTGTATTTGTAATAGGGCTGAATGCCCACAGAATCTCCCTCAGGAATGGAGGGAGTAGGTATGTAATGTATTGGGTTACTCTGGCAGGAAAAGGATAAGAAACATGCTAGCAACAGTAATAACAAAGAAAGCCACTTCCACCTTAAGTGTATATCCTTCAGCTCTGCTTTTGCTCCTCACTTCACTGTCAAAAGATCATCAATCAGATAATCTATCTTCCTATCTTTAGGCCTCCCAATACATAAGAGTGTACAGAAGGGAAAAATGACAACAAATTTCATTAAATAGAACTATCTTATAGATTTATTAATGAAAAATACTTTACAAAAACAATATGTTTGGCCCTAAAATAGATCAGCTGACTAAGGGTATACAGTGGCGACTGAGCAAGTGGCAGTAATGGCTCTGCTGCTGAGGAAAAAGGGTTTGTTATTGTTCCTGACTCCATCTCTTCAGAACAGTGAATGTTATGATGGCAGGTCCACACACCAGGTTTGGGGCATGGGGAAGATTGACAGGCCATACATAGTTCCTCAGCAGGTGGGCTTCCCTAAATAATGTGGTCAGGACCCTCCAAGGATGGGAGGTGGGGAAGATAGTCAAGTAATAGGAATAGGATAAAACAAAGAGAAAAAGTTGGGAATGTAGTAGGAACCAGAGGATGAGGGTTCCGGTGGAGGTGGGGACAGAACAGTATCTGAAAATAAAATGATGACATTATGACACTAAGGAATGGCTAAGTTTTCAGAGTAATGTGATGGATTCAACTTTAAAGTGGCTTAAATAGAGCCCTAAATAGTAGTTGCTTCCTTTTGCTAGAAGAATCTAAGTTGGCATTTAAAGTATTTCCTCCCAAAGAGGAAAAAAGAGTCAGGTCTCTTTTGACATTCCTGGTACTGCTAGGAGAAATTGCCAATTCTCATAACCATGATAGGGATGCCAGGTACCAACTTTGCCACAGTAGTTTTCTAGGAAAAAAAATAGCACAGTAAAGGGGTGAACAGGACTCAGCTGCTGTGCTACAGAACTCTAGCCTTGTTCTGCTCTGTTCCATGGGCATCTGCTAGAAGAGACAGAAACCCCTCCCTCCTGTCCTCCTGAGTCCAGATTGGGAGGCATAACTGCTTTGCCTCCAATCATCATCTGGGGGAATGTCTACTCTTCGAGGACCAAGTGTTCGTGACGCTGGAACAGGAGCTGAATTCCAAGCTGACCTCGAGGATAAATGAAGACTGCTGGATGGTGGGGACACGGGGTGAACATTGGAAAGGTAGCAGGATGGATGGGAAAGATCTCCCCAGGACTGAGCATGAGGGACCTGAAATCCCTGGCTGCTCTCTGGTAGTATGGCAGTGTGGGTTAGCTGAGGCTTGTACTCTGGGGTACTTAGGAGTCTGGCCCTAATGTGCTGGTTGGTCTCTGACCAAGGTCCCATGGTAGCATCAGTTCTGGAACGATGGGGGAGACTCCGATAGGTCAAAGTCCTTCCTGTGTACTTGACCCCTTGGGAAGTTTCACTCCTGTCACACATAGCCAGAAACTGCTGGACATTCCTTGGAGTTCCTGAGGACAGAAAAGAAACCCAGAGACTCAGTATCCTCATAAAATAATTCTCCTTTTCCATGGCTCATTCCTGGCTATTCTACCCAACTCTTTACTCCCACATAAACATACATACAAGGTAAACACAGCACCTAGTTTTGCTTTTGATTTTATTTTTAAAAATTCTTAATATACATCAAAAATAAGTCTCTCATCTCCACCTTGGGCAAATGAAACAGTCTCCTGAATGCTGTTACACCTACCTTGTTCCACTACAATTCCTCTGACATAAACACACACACATGAATAACCTCCTAACATGGCAGATATACTGCCCCCTCAATGACTTTTTTTTTTTTTTTGAAACAGAGTCTCACTATGTAATTGAAACTGACCTGGAATTCATTATGTAGCCCAGGCTGGTCTCGATCTCACAGTGATCCTCCTGCCTCAGCCTCCCAAGTACTGGGATTACCAGCATGCGCCACCATGCCCAGCTTGCAATGACTAATTCTTGAGCAACTACTCTAAAGTCTCACTTATGATCCCCAGTGATGGTGGTGGTGGGGTCTCATTTAGCTTTTCTTAACACAGTGGTACCTTTAGTAAGGCTGCCTGTGCTTACATTCCTGCTCAATCCCTGAGATTTCTGCTTTTTACACCACTCTTCCTACATACACAATGTAGAATGCCTTTTCTATACATTTATTCAACATTCGCATTACTGATATTGTCGGCTAATATTTACTTGTTGGCGATGAGAAGAGATTGTCCTGTGTATTGTATGATTAGTAACATCCTAGGCCTCTACCCATTAGGTTATACTAGACTTCCTCTTTCCTATTTGGAACCATTGTCTTAATCAGAGACTGAGCCCATAAGGAGGAAAAACAGAATCTCTTTCTGTAGAGGGTCAGTGGAAGCCAGAATGATGCTGCCCACCTTCCCCAGGATCATCTGGGTTTGTACACATAGCACGAGTACGCCAAGTACAGGGTCTTTCTAGGCTTCCCTTCACTCCTTATTGTCTTACACCATCCCTCAGCTGAGACTCAGTGAATAGGACATGAATTAGTATAGAAATGACACTTCAACTTTGGGAGAATCGCAAACACTGGGTATTAACTCCCCTTGGTCACTTAAAAGGTTATTATATAATGACTAAAATAGTTCATTCTCATGAGTAGCTAAATTCTACGGGTGCTGGTTTACATTCTGACCTAAAAAACTGTGGTGCCAAGAGATGATTCATTCACAATTCACAGAGATCAATACTCAATCTTAAAACAGTAATTTATAAACTTACACCACTCCACTACAGGACATCCCAGCCCCCATACTAATTTGACCCTCAAGAGTCCCCTGGAAACACATTCTAACAAATAATATTACATTGAGAGGAGTTACCTTCGGGTCTATAAGGTTCCCCTGCCATGATGGGCATCAGGACATCTGGGGACAGGAACTGTGGTTGGGGAAGGTAGAGTTGGGAATCAAGGAGAAACACAGGAGGATCATGGATGACAGGGAGGGAAGAGGAGCTGGAACAACGGTTCCCGGTTTCCAAAGGCTTTTTCCTCATGTTTGATGAATCCTTATAATGAGACAAGACAAAAAACACAAAAATGGGGATTAACACAGAGCAGGATGTGGTTCGGTAAACACAGTGAGGCAAGCAGGGGAAATGGAGGGAATTTAAGTACAAACACACATTGTTCTAGAGAAGCACCCTATTTACTCTTCTTGTCAGCCCTTTTTTTTTTGGTACCAGGGACCAAACTCAGGACCTCGCACTTGTGAGGCAGGTGGTGGAACCACTGAGCTAAATCCTTGACCCTTTGTCAGCCCTTCTAAGAAACTCAAACTTCAGCTGGGCATGGTGGTGCACGCCTGTAATCCCTGCACTCAGGAGGCTGAGGTAGGAGGATCGCTGTGAGTTTGAGAACAGCCTGGGCTACACAGTGAGTTCCAAGTCAGTCTCAACTACACAGTGAAACCCTGTCTCAAAAAAAAACAAAAAACAAACAAAAAAAAAACCCTCAAACTTCAAATCCACTTCCCTGCATCAGTTTTAATCATATCTATCAACTGCTTAGACCTACCATTCAAGTCTTTAGCAGACTTTTTAATGCTAACAATAGAATCAGGAAGATTGAAATTGAAATTGTAAAAATTGAGAGAGAGAGAGAAAGGATGAATTAAAGGCTGAGAAAATGAAAAATCTTTATTTACTATAAGTGAGAACTAAAATATACCTGCTGACATAAAGAATCGAACACTCGACTCCATCTGCTAACCTGCCACTTCATTTCAGGACAGCTTCCTTCTTTGCCTGTGAAGTCTACATTCACAAATGCTTGAGTTGTGTGTTCTATACCTTATTAGTTATTGATTTATGGTAAAACACAAGAAATGTTCCCATTAACATATGAAACATGAATACATCCAAAATTAAATGAATACTCTTCCAAACTTGTCCTCCTTGTACCACATTCTAAGTCATTCAAGCGGCAATGCCCTTGACTTCTGACTTTCAATCAACAATTCCATTATGACAAGTACTCCCATTTCTACTTATGGATTTCCTAGTTAAGTTTAGCTACACCAAAGCAATAGATTTCAATATGATCTTCCTATCTCATATCCACTACCTAATTACTGTGATCTAGAAAGTCCTATGGTATAAAGCAACTGCTGATCTTTCTCGCTTTAACTCCAACCATTCTGGTATCTTTTACATTCTTCTGAGCACTTTTTTTCTTGGTACCGGGATTGAACTCAGGTCCTTGTGCTTGCAAGGCAGGCCACTGAACCGCTGAGCTAAATCCCCAGCCCCATCTTTTACATTCTTAATGTTCATCAAACACAAACTCACTCCTACCTCAAGGCCTGAACACTTATTATCCCTATTACTAGGAATATTTTCCCGTGGCCCAAATCTTCATATCACTGAAGTCTCTGATCAGATGTTACTTCTTTAGAGCTTATGTCCCTCACTACCCTACCAAAAACAGCACTGAGGAAAGCTATTGTTACTTTTTCTTCTGGTAGGAGTGGTGACTGAACGCAAGTTTTCACACAGCTAGGGAAGCAATCTACCACTGAGCTACATCGAAACCCCCACTTTACTTCTATATCCTTTGACTTATTTTATTCGCCTTTATTACACTTATGATTGCCTGATGTTAAATCATTTTATTGTCTTTCTCTCCTAGTAGAATACCTTTCTTTTCACTTCAAGATCCCTAGCACCTTGAACAGCACCTGGAACAATGCAAGCATTTGGTAAATAATACATTGACTAAAACAACCCATATGTCAATATATTTAATTTCCTTTAATAGATTGCAAGCATTCAAAGGCAGAATTTGTGTTATTTCATCAGTGTATGCTCATAACACCTATCAGGGGAAGAGTGTTCCAAGAAGAAAGGAATTTCTAAGGGAATAGCACACAATTTCCTGCTTTTTCCTCAAGCTGGCTCTTTTTCACAGTCCCCTTTTAGGGTTCCTCAAGGATATGTCCTGGCATTTTTTCTCTTTGCAATTCTCTTTTTTTCTTTTCAGTGGCATGGATTCTCAAATCTCAATTTCTAAGTTGTGTGTCTTAAATGCAAAGGCCTACCAACTCTCTCCACTCCGGCATAATACATCCCAAATTGAACATATTTCTTCCTTCAAATATATTATTAACAACCAAAAAAACTTGCATATTACCCTTGATTCTCCTCCCCCACACCCAGGCAGGCAGGCATCAAGTATCATTTATGTTTTTTCCTAATTGGCTCTCCAATATGTTTGCTCTCTCAATCCTTCCAAACTCCTTATTGTAACATATAGGGCTCTTTGTGGTCCATGATTTGACTAGTATTTATATTCTTTCTCCTCTCCCTTGTCAAGACTCTCCATCATCTCCCCTCACCAGACTCTGTAATCCTGACATACCAAACGAACCTCTATGAAGTCAGTTAACATTTGCTGAAGGACCCTTTGCCTATTATATTCTTTTTGCTTTCTCTAGGAAGTCTTCAATACCTCAAGCCGAGACACAGCTTCTATTATGTTCCCATAGCAACAAATCCTTATCAAATTATAAAACTGCTTATTTATCTGTCCCCCATAATAGACTGTTAACTCCATAAAAGCAGGGACTATAACTATCTCACCATAGTATTCCCAGCACCTGGCACAATACCAAGAACATAAGCTCAATAAGCACTTGTTTAAAGAATGAATCAATGAATACATGAATTCTAAAGAAATCAGAAGGAAGCCAACTCTCTTAGGAAAATCACATTTTACATTAAATGCATTCAGTGTGTGTGAGAACAAATGCTGGGCAGAAAAGATTACTGTCCCAAAAAGAATAGCAGGCTGTTGAATTACTTAAGAACTTATAGAAAATAAATTGGGGGGTGGCTCTAGACAGGGAAAATGGATCTGAAAGGATGGTAAGACAGAAGCCATAGTTTTCACTATATATGCTTTTTATTTTTCTTTCTTCTTATCTGTCTATCTGGCACTAGGGACTGAATTTGGGGCCTCTGCACTGAGCTACATCTTCAGCCCTTTTTAGTATTTGCTTTTTTGTTGTTGCTGTTTTTTTTTTTTTTTTTTTT